TCTGGACCTGCCCTTTGTATATAAGTATAAAATGACAGATTGTCCGCCAGTTTTTGGTGGAGGAAGTAATTCCTGAGTAAAAATCCCAACAACCAAGTGTTAAAAACATCAGCTTACGTGGCGTGTCATTAAACGTCGTCTATCTACGTAAAAATGAATAGCTTAGGATTGTGTTACAAAATATGGTTACTTTCCATTCTAAGGTTTATATAAGAGTTACGTTTAAGATTACCTTTGGCATAGTCTTTTGATGTGTATTTGGTTAGGATATTATCATTTTTTCCCTCTTAACCTTCAATCATTTGGGTTTATTTGTGAAAAATATAGATGATGTTGTTTTATTGAAAGACATTACATGACCTAAACATTTTTCATGAATATTTATAATTTTAGAATATATTATTTCTATTGTCAGTGCAACTAAATTTATTTTAGGGCAAAATTTGACAGAAAATTGTTTTTTCTGACTCTCAGTGTGCAAAGATGCCAGTTCATGGATGCGGCAACGAATTATTACCAGAATCAAAACCAGAACCAGAACTTGACCTGTATTGGTGGCAGATGTAACTATATACATTCAAACCTATTGCAATTGGAAACACATTGAAATACACATTTGTAAAATGTTCATGTACCATAACATGAACTTTCAAGAAAATAAACACAATTTATTCAACATTTATAAAAAATACGCGAGTTCAATGTTTAATTTGTTTATCTTTTTATTTATGCTCTCTTAATTTTAATGATTTATTCTAATTTGTTTTCTCATCTTTTCTTCTAACATTTTTCACGCCTTCCGTTAACTTTAGAGGTTATTAAAGAGACATCCATACGGTGGCGTAGGTAAGATTAGTATCACCCGGAGGTGGGGATGACAAAGATTTTTGCCGCCCCTTGCTACAAAGAACTCTACAGTTTGCCGAAAATGACGCCACGGTTAATGTGTTTCCCTGGACCGACCCCCCTCCCAGTCGCACCCCGTCCCTGTCGCATCCATCCTTCTCTTAATCCAGATATTTTCGTAAAATTCTGTCTCGGGTAGCAGGGCGGAATGAACTCTGAATGTAAGGTATTCTTGCCCCCCCCCCCCCACACACACAACCCCTTACAGCCTCGAACACTGCAGTCAATGATTGATGAAAACGAAATAAACGTTATATATATAATGTATACTTAAAGAGGTTATATAAATGTTTGTATTTATCCGTTTTGAACACATGATTATAAATGTCACTTTAATTTTTTTTTATCTGAGGACTTCACTTTGGCGGACCATGCTTATCTGTTTCTCACTGTGCTGAGACCTTGACCTGTATTGATGGTAGATGTAGGTACGATCAGTACTACAACGTTACTTGTCAAACAGATAAGTATGTCTTTGATATCATAATTTCATTAGACTAAAAAAAAAAAAGACAGGCCAACAACATTGAGTTTGAGAACCGTTGGTTCACACTCACCACGCACTTGCTAGTACTGTACCATGTAGCAACGGCAGGCACCTACGTCATTTGGGTGTACCTATTGCTATCTTGTGTCGCGGATATTGTTCCTAGCGAACCCGATCAAACTGTTGTTAGTGGAACATTACGTCATATCTTTAAGTTTTTGCGGGGAAACTGGCCACTTTTCATGCGCAAAATTTTGATTTTTGCTTTTGTTTCCCTGTTTGGTATAGCCTAGTTTTACTGTATCGCAAAATTTAGTTTTGATGAGTTAATAAAGTTTATTATGGAATTCATTTTTTAAAATGTATTTAAGAATAGTTGAAAGTTATAATATTGTACGAGTTTAATGGATTTATAACCCACTGATACCTGTAACTGTAGTTGATTACCCAGTTTAGGGGGAAGGGTGATGTGATTGAATCATTATTACAACATAATAATAATACAACCAATTGTTTCATTTCAAATATCTATGTCATAAATGGGAATATTTTTTTTAAAGTAGACACCATTCTGCACTGTTAACCATAAATATTACAAATTAAAAAAAAAATAAAAACCAAACTGAGAAAGTTAATGTAAACAAAACACTTACTCCAGCTACGAGAGAGAGAGAGGGTGGTGGGAGTAAAGGAGGCGGGTTGGTGATCAAGGGGGCGCAATGGAGGAGTTTGGTTTGCATGTTTTAATGGACTTTTAGTTTTGGGGGATGGGGTGAAGAGGAGATGATGACAATTTGGGGGGGGGGGTGGTGGTGGTATGTGAAGTTGGGTGGCGGTGATCGCCGTGGATAGAAGGTTAACCTTCGAATGGCAAGAGCCAAGGCAACCTATGAAAAGGGGGAGGGGGGGAAGGGGAGAGGGTGAGGGTTGGGGGGGGGGGGTGGTGGTGGTATGTGAAGTTGGGTAGCGGTGATCGCCGTGGATAGAAGGTTAACCTTCGAATGGCAAGAGCCAAGGCAACCTATGAAAACAAAGATATGAAAAGTTCCCATACGCTGAGGTTCTCGCACAGGTAATTCAGGTAGTTCTTCAAAACATCTATTCCAAATTAATTCAATCCCTGATTCGATGGTCGGGACTTGTTGCTTACTCAAGACAATATACTATGGGAATTCCGAGAATGGTAGGTGGTCTGTGTTTTTGGGGGAAGGGGGGGGGGCACAAGAAAAGTTTTAAGGAAAGCCTAAAACCTCACTTAAAGAGTTCGATACCATCCCCGGCCCTTGAGAAGAATATGTAAATGATCGAGCATCATGGCGTTCCTGTAAAAATAAAAGCTCCGCACAAGAAGAAGCCAATAGAATAGCTGATGCAGAGCAAACATAAGAAGCCAGAAAATGTTGTTGTTAACTCTGGAAATTAAGATGTCCCATCAATCCCTTGAACTTACTGCACAAGAACATTTCGTGCCAGACCCGGTCTCATGAGCCATCTGCACACCCACTTACATACCCAGACGCAGCGTGAATACAATGATCAAAAGAATCATGATTCATTTCAAAGGATGAGGTAATAAGCGGATGGAAGGGTAAGTCATAGCTGACAACCGGGTGGAAGGGTAAGTCATATCTGACAACCGGGTGGAAGGGTAAGTCATATCTGACAACCGGATGGAATGGTAAGTCATAGCTGACAACCGGATGGAAGGGTAAGTCATAGCTGACAACCGGATGGAAGGGTAAGCCATATCTGACAACCAGATGGAAGGGTAAGTCATATCTGACAACCAGATGGAAGGGTAAGCCATATCTGACAACCAGATGGAAGGGTAAGTCATATCTAATAACCAGATGAAAGGGTAAGTCATATCCTACAACCAGATGGAAGGGTAAGTCATATCTGACAACCAGATGGAAGGGTAAGTCATATCTGACAACCAGATGGAAGGGTAAGTTATTGTTGTGTAGGTTATCGAGGGCTGGAGGCAGTGTATAATTAAATAATTTTATGGGGCTAAGGTAAACATAGATCTAGAGTCTAGAGGGTGGGGACAAGAAGGAAAGGGATAGGGTTGAAGGTGACAAAGTTTCAAAGTAAGAGGTTTTCTTTATAATTAATAGAAACACAATTTATGGTCAATATTGAAACGCTGCAGTTAATGTCTGTGGTGGCAAGTTAAATCAGTTTTACTCTAAATACTTTTCACAGTAAAAGGAAAGAGGAGATACATTTTCTCAATATTCTTTCAAGTTTTAGTTATTTTCATTTTCACAGCGCGTTGAGTCACGAAGCACCAATGGGAGTCGCTTAGTCAATTATTTTGTCACGTGATGTGAGTAAAAACGAGTAAGATTTCCGGTATACTGTATACAACACACTAGTGCTTGACAACAGTAGCCCGATACACACTACAACTACACTACATTTCCTCCAATGAAAATTAACAATAAAATAAACAAAGGGGAATGACTCCTGCATCAATATTGAATAAAAACGCAAATGACGTCATGAGCACGCACGGAGCTCAACAACAGCCTGCCGATAATAGTATTGATAGTTCCCATCGAATATCGCTCACAAATTTTTCTTGAAATAACTTTCTTCCTTTAATCATAACTGACGTATATTTATTGTCACATTTATGGATTTCATTTAAAAAAACGCTTGCATTCCATAATATTACGAAAGGTAACATTTTTAATTAACATGAAATTGGGGAAGCACTGATGAAGTATCTTTTGTTGTGTGTAGCAGCCTAGTGATGGCTTACTCACATCACGTGACCAAACAAGGAAGTGACTAAGCGACTCCCATTCGCATTGCCAAGTTTGGTTGTTGAATCCAAAAACTTTTTAATACATCAAAGGTGATAACTCATGGAGCCAAATTATTTAAATTTGCTTCTCATTTCTATATCCAGACATTCACTTTACTCTTTACCTTGGCATGAAACTAAACAAAAGTAGATCTGAGCTCACTCAACCACCTATTCACCCAACCAAGAAGCAGACGCAGACGCAGACGCAGTCATCCATGATAATTTGAGTCACAGTGTAAACCCTCCTCCGTCCAACCAGTATTCAGGAGCTCACCAACTCACCGACCATTTCCAGCCGTTCACCACGTGAACACTGCACGAGAAAGTCTTAATACGTCACGTGTGTAAACAAACAAAGATTACGCTCCACGTGATGGAAATGCGAAGAAAGAGAATGTTTTTAAAAGGTAACACGTAACAACCTTAAATTGCTCTTAATTATCTCTACTGGCTTTGAACCTGAAGTCAAAATAACTAGAATCGGGCCAAAGAAGTATAATTTAATTCAGGTTTTGACAGCATTTAAAAAATATGTAACGATTTTTAAAAAAACAAAAAAAAAACAAGAAAAACGGAAGATATTAAATAAACAAACAAAAAAAAAAAAAATAAAAGATTATTTTCATTTTATTAAAAATAAAAAAAAAAAAAAAAAAAAAAATTAAACGATTATAAAAAAAAAAAAAAAAAAAAAAAGAAAAACGGAAAATATTAAATAAACAAACAAAAAAAAAAAAACTTAAAGATTATTTTCATTTTATTAAAAATCATTAAAAAAAGAATGCATTTAATCCATATACATTATAGTTATAGGATGGTTTTCCTCGTGAGATGCGGTTATCGATTTATGGTTATTGTACATTCCAAAATAATGGATAAATAATGTACAAATGTATTATAGTACAGTATATATTTTATTATGTAAAAGCTTTCGTTGAGGGAGTTAAGCCGTATAAAGATTTTAAAAATGGTTAAACTGTATTAGCTTTCTTGATTCTTCGGCTACACCAATTATTTTTTGTTATATCATTTACACCAGGCCTGCACAACTCATAATGTAAGGCGCGGCGTAATAATTTATGAAAAACTTGTGTGGGCCGTAAAACTTTATGAAAAACATTTTTGGGCCGAAAGATAATAGGAATTTGGTGAAAGCTAATAAAAAAATTGTAATAATAAAGAATATTTCGTTTCTTCGCGGGCCGCCAAGTGGGAGCTGGCGGGCCGTATGTTGTGCAGGCCTGCTTTATATGGACTTATCGTGTGTTTCTGGCTGGGAGGCAAAATCTTTGGACTGTACGTCAACATATGGAGCTGAAACTTGGCACGCAGACATATTCCTGATTCCTTTATTCATGATGTCTTTATTTAGAATTATTGGGGTTTACCTTTACGCTGACCAGTCGCACGTGACCCACATAGTCATTGTTGCAGATCTACACATTTCACAAATTTTTAACAAATTATTTTAGAAAATTGTTTTCAAACAGCAAAGTATACAACTCAAATGATGGACTATAAAGGTTAACGAAATTTTCAGTGTGATATATTATTATGGCTTTGTACAGTGGTGTGTTTAGAAAATTAACATTTATGTCAATTCTGATCAAATGCAACATTTTGATACACGTCATCTTCCTCTTGCTGGTCACGTCTGTGTGCATTCTCTATTTCTTTGGTGTTCACATAGGTCCCTTCTTTCCATGACGCCATCACTGATTCCCGGATGCAATCGTAATCACTTTCAGCTGGAGTAAATAAATGAAACCATCTCATGTTGTTTTACTTGGATGTAATGTTTCAATTAAGATATATGTATAAGGTTGCTTTTTAAAAAAATAACCCAACAAGAAAGTTTTGGTTTCATATTGTTAATAGGCATGTGTATTTGCCTGTCGTAAGATGTAAAATGTATTACAATAAGTGTAGGATGTCACAACGACAATTTCAAACATGGACATATTCAAGGAATAGTAGTAATATTACACAATATAAATGTCTTCATTTTCTTTGTTCGTTCTAATTTTAGATAAATGGACAAATAGTTTATAATTTCAAAAAAAATTCATCATAGGCTATGGTATAGACAACTTTTTTAGACAAAGAGTATAGACATCGTTTATAGACAGTTTTGGTATGTTATGTCAATAATGTGGACATACGAAGACAAGTGCTGTTGATAAACCGACAGTGAGGAGTGATGGTGAGGCATACAAGGATAAAACTACAATAAAGGGATGACGGTGAGGCATACAAGGATAAAACTACAATAAAGGGATGATGGTGAGGCATACAAGGATAAAACTACAATAAAGGGATGACGGTGAGGCATACAAGGATAAAACTACAATAAAGGGATGACGGTGAGGCATACAAGGATAAAACTACAATAAAGGGATGACGGTGAGGCATACAAGGATAAAACTACAATAAAGGGATGACGGTGAGGCATACAAGGATAAAACTACAATAAAGGGATGACGGTGAGGCATACAAGGATAAAACTACAACAAAGGGATGACGGTGAGGCATACAAGGATAAAACTACAATAAAGGGATGACGGTGAGGCATACAAGGATAAAACTACAATAAAGGGATGACGGTGAGGCATACAAGGATAAAAGATGCAATGAGGGATGATGGTGGGGTATACAAGTTATAGTTGATAGCCTCACGTCTACAGTACCTTGATTGTCTCCAGTACGAATATCATCATTGTTCATGGTCCTCCCACCAGGAGGGGCGTTGTCCGTGGTTCTTCCGGTCATGGACATGTCCTCATTGTTCGTGGTCCTGTACTCGTTCATGGTCCTGCCACCAGGATGGGTGCTGTTAGTGGTTTTTCCGGTCACTGAGATCTCATCATTACAAGTCTTAGTGACATTCCCATCTGTTCTACTTGTCCTGTAATCCTCAAACGATATTTAATTTTGCATTAATGTCGTTGGGGAAATTAACTATAAATAAAATTACATTCGATATTTTTATATGAGAGTACTTAAACAAAGTAGCCAGTAACTCACTACGTGAGGTTTGCATCAAAACGCAAAGATAACTGATACATTCTGCAAATTACATTGTTGTGAATTTAAATCAAGATTGGATATTTTGGTAGGGGAGTTTTATTTGAATGATGCTTTTTAAAAATCTTTCAAAGATGATTTTTTAAATAGTGTATAGACAAAATTTATCAATTCAACGCTTTAACCTTACGAATAAAATCTTATATCTGGTCTGATGGTACCTGTTTGTCTTCCTCTTCCTGACAAATATCACTATGACAACAATAGCAACTGCAACAACGACGATTGAACCAGTAGTGACCCCGGCTATCAGAGGAACTTTTGTCATCCCTTCGTGTGGTTCACATGGGAAATTTATAATTAAAAAAGGACATTTAATTTTTTTTTAAAAATCTCCACAGTTACAGAGGACGGACACAGATAAATGAGAGCAACATATCGGGCTAAAGAGCATATATATTTGATCTCTCTTCAGAATTTACAATTTTAAGATTAATATTAAAATACAAGTCTGAAAATAAGATGAGATAACATTCTTTTATTGATAAAAAATGGAATCTTTTTTGATTGCATTAAACATATACATTTTCAGCACATCAATAAATAGATATTTTAAGTCATATTTTCTAACTAAAACAATTTGAACACAAGACATCTACATTAAATTATTTCACTAGTGAAAAGAAGCAGCCATTCAGTGAACTCTTAGTCATAACAAGGACTTATTAGTTCTAAATTTAGATTTGTTACTTCTGGGGGAGCACGCTGGTAAATTCGTACAGATTGGGGAACAAAATAATTTTTATATCTGTCAGTCCTCGCCCTGAAAGAAAGAATTCGCCCCGAACGGGCCTAGCCTAAGTATCGGTGATGAAGAGGGTGGGATGTATCATTAAAAATTTGTTTAGTTTTACAATAACATCTTTCTTTATATAGTTCTTCAAGTGAATGATGTTTAGTTTGTGTATTGTTCCTATATTTCTTGGTTAGTCTGTTTATTAGGTGTTTAATATCAGACGATGAATTGCCACAAAAGCAGGTAATATTAAAATTAAGTAGGCTTCCAATTGTTGCACTGTATAATAAGTTAGCGACTTGTTTATTTAGGGTGAAATTGTACAGATTTGTATTCGTAAGGTAGAAAAGTCTTTGGTTGAATTTTTATACAGCATTTGGCAGTGCTCATGCCTTATTAGCTTATTATTAATGGTGACACATAAGTACTTATATGCCTCTACTTTCTCTACACTTTGACTTTTTTATGTTTAGATCTGTAAAATAGTGCCCCCCTCCTTTCCGGAAGTCAACAACCATTTCCTTTGTTTTTGAGACATTCATCTGGAAAATATTTTCATTGCACCAATTGCTAAAGCTTGTAACTAAGTTTTGGTATAAGGCCTCTCTGTCAGATATTAAACCAACGATGGTGGTATCATCTGCAAATTTTATGACGGGAACGGTGTCGTTTGAGCTCTGAATATCATTGGTATATATTGTATACAGGACAGGGGGAGAGAACGCAATCGTGTGGCGCCCCAGTGCGTATTTATCTGGTTAAAGATAATTGGTCCTTTAACGGACATATTGTTGGCGATTTGTTAAATAGTTCAGTATTAAAGCTTGAATATTTTAATTAAAACCTAAGGAGAAAAGTTTCTTTATTATATTATGAGCATAACGCATTTGTGACTGACAATTTGGGGTTTGGGGTAGGTGTGGGAGAGGGAATATAAGTAGCGCTCCTAAAATGTCAGTTAATTATGGTCAGTTCTGTTTGAGCTACGTTTGGTTGGATAGTGGTCAAATCTTATAATCACATCAGATGGTTAAGTAAGGCAATGCTAGTAGTTGGAGGCAAGATATCTTAAAATGTCTCTGACAAGATAACTAAAAGTGTCTGTCTCTGTTTTGTTCCTCCCAGGTGAGTGATCATTTCGTTACAACGTAAGTTTAAGGAACCAGAAGCACCGTCGTCCTCGTTGTAGGTACTACTTAGAAAGGGGGATGTTATGATAAGGGAAAGGGAGAGCGTGTTTTAGCTACTACCAAGACAAATGATAATTTTGAAAAAAATGATGAGAACTGGCTATTTTTAAAAAAAAAAGACATTTTAAATTTGTAAAATCGACCGCCAATTTAAATGACATGACTTGTGAAATAAAACTTTGACCCCACAGATCTATAGCATTACTTAACAATTTACCTGAAATGTCTAACACGAAAATATGTCTTACTAGCGCGAAATGCAATGTCCTTAAAGAGAAGATGGGTCTCCCTAACACGCTAACACGTAAATGAGTTTTCCACGCAAAGCACGTGACAACATGCTCAAATAGCCGGCACAAACATCCACTTCCGTCACAATATCTTGGAGCAGAAACCCCCCCCAAAAAAAATAATAATAATTCAAGCGTAATAATCAAGAAAAATAATAAACGCTAATTTTAAACTATTCACAAATAATGAAAGACAGGTGGATATTTAAAACTAAAATATCGTTCACATAGCGATTAAAGTGTCAGCTGGCCCAGTTTTGAAACACCCCGGTGTCACGTGACTAGTGTCACCGCGACTGTTGTATGCAGTTATGGTGCAGTTGTAGTGTGTATCAGCCGAGAGGTTTGTTACAGTCACCTCTGGAATCAAAACCTCATGCAAAGTGTCACCGAGAGTCACCCTTTAACCTGCCACCCTCCCTTCGGAGGGATGAAATCTCAAAACGTAAGGAACGCTGGTCAAGCTGCTGATACTGTCAATGATTTCCCCAGGTGGCGCCGGAGCTAGAAATGTTTGATTAATGTTTTAAAGTAAAGACCAAAGTGCAGATGGATGCTACAGGTTTAAAATAAAATCGAGTAGAGGGAAACATTTAAATAGAGTTGACTCACTAAGTGCGAGATTATCGTTACCGTACTGAAATATTACAATTGCAAGTTAATGACCAATTAGATCAGAGGTTATTATCATTATTTTAGGTGGTTTTATATAGCGCAGTACCCCAGCCTAGGGCTAGGCTCACGGCGGGTCAATTAGCAAATAAATTTAAAAACAACAATTGGTGAAATGCTTGACCTCACCACCCAAGTACTATCTACCCCTGTCTAGCCATGGACAGCACCCAGCAGAATCTCAACCTGCCGTGACCCTTTAATACAGTTCCTGATGTTGTGGTAACCCTTAACCATAAAATTATTTTCGTTTATACTTCACAATATGTGTTTTCCTGATGGTCTTAGGCGAGCCCTGTGTAAGGGTCTTTCGACCCCAAAGGGTTTGCGACCAAAAGTTTGAGAACCGCTCAATTAGATGATTAAATAAATTTAATGAAATTAAGTTTTAAAATAACAATATTAATTGCAGATATACACGGAAACAAAAATAACATATCAATAAAATTAGAAAACAAAACAAATCAGTATTATGAGTTATGAAATTCTTCTTAAGTTAATAGTGAATTCAATTTCATAGAATATTCTGAACTGCACAAAAAAAGTCATGCCAATGGGAAAAGGCCAATTAACATTACATGACAGTTTGTCTTTACGTACTTGTTACGACAGTAAATTTTGTATACACTGTTGTTGTATTGTAGAAGCTATTTGCCCCTAGTGTAGTGACCACTGTGAAGACATACTCCTGCCCAGGGGTCAATCCGTGCACGTGCACTCCGTTGTTGGATGCCGGCATTTCTCCCATATCCAAACTGTCTTCTGTGGCCGACCAGGTTATCTTGTACGTTGTAGGATATCTGCTGGGACTCCCAGTGGTCCAGGTGAATAGTATATCATTGGTTGTAATTTTAGGATGGCTGGATAAACGTACACCGAGCTCAGAATCTGATGAAGTCAACACAAAGTAGATGTGAAAATGTGACCAACAGGTCATAACAGCATAAATAATTAAATAAATAAGTGAATATACAAAGAAAACTTAATTGCTTTAGTTGAAATCATTTGGTGTTTTTTTCATTTACTCTTCCATTAAAAGACAAAGAACTAACATGGTGCACATTGGGTCCAAGTTCTGTACAACCCTGGCACACACAGACACCTTGTTACATTCAAGTTGTCGAGCCTACATTCAAAGTCTGGCCCTTTGCACATGTTCCGTACTGAAGGGTTACAGGGACTTGGGTCTTCGAGAGCTTCAGAAGAGAAAAGAAACCGTTAATAATGAACCATCGATTACAAACAATTGAACTGTAATTTGTCCTATATCATAAAAAACTTACCAGATGTTTTGCTTGGCAATTTGTTTTTATTTTATTTTTTGGACAAGGGAATAAGAGTAACTCTAGACAACGTATGTGTTGTTCATGAATGAGTTTGTCATTGCAAAAAATAAATTATTTCGCACACTGGCATTCATACGCACCCACGCTAGTACACTGGAACAGGATGAACGGCCTCAAACACACATGCACATGCAACAAATATACCAACGTATACCTTGAGTCACACATCTTGACCCATTCTTCTATCAAATTGAAAGTTCAAACCAAACATTACACTTAAAGGAAAACTAGTATTACCAGGCGTATTTGACGAAAACGTAACAAAAGACTAAAAAATATCCAATGAAAGAAAGTCCCAATGGTTTGACCTTTTCACGACCTCCAAGGCACCGCGTCAGAGTGGACATATTTGATAAGTAATTCTTTGTCACTTTGCTTCCTCTTATCCGGTTTATAGAACCGCGCAGGTATTTTGGTCTATTTGACAGATCCTACATTTTTTATATATAAAAGTGGTTGAAATTGTGAAAATCACACAGGATAACTGGTGAATAAAGTATAGATAATCGTGGTAGATAACATGTAAGCCCTTAATATTATTTCAATAGCAAACCATACATCTCACTAACACACCATACATCTCCCCAACACACCATACATCTCCCCAACACACCATACATCTCACCAACACACGATACATCACAACAACAAACCATACATCTCCCCAACACACCATGCATCTCCCCAACACACCATACATCTCCCCAACAAACCATACATCTCCCCAACACACCATACATCACAACAAACCATACATCTCCCCAACACACCATACATCACAACAACAAACCATACATCTCCCCAACACACCATACATCACAACAAACCATACATCTCCCCAACAAACCATACATCTCCCCAACACACATCTCCCCAACACACCATACATATCCCCAACACACCATACATCACAACAACAAACCATCCATGACTCTCACTAACACACCATACACTTCTTGAGAATGAGTATTTAACTTATTTCAATTTAAGAGCTAGTTTGTTTTTTTTTAAAGCTATTTTAGCATGAGATCATATTCAGTAAATGGATTAGCGAACTTTTTAAGGGTTCATAAAACCCGATTTCTTTTTCACCAATAAACAAGGGATACGTGACAGAACCAATAAGGACTTTTTTTTAAAAAATCTGTTTGTTATAATGCATTTAATTTGTTACCTGCAAGACACGTATGTATTGTGTTGTTGCAGTAAAAGTTATCAGGACAAACACACATGTCAAATCGGCAGACGGGACTTTGAGGGCATTGGGTAGAGTTGTAACAGGGGTACGTTATAGGCCGTGCTTAAAATAAGAAATGAAATATATACGCATGGAATATACTGCTATGACATATATATATATATATATATATATATATATATAGAAAAATATATGGATATATCTCTCGTTATATGTTATAAATTTATTGGTACATAGATAATCTTTTTATATATATATATATTTTTTTTAAAACAGGGGTACGTTATAGGCCGTGCTTAAAATAAGAAATGAAATATATACGCATGGAATATACTGCTATGACATATATATATATATATATATATATATATATATAGACAAATAGATGGATATATCTCACGAAATATGATATAAATTTATTGGTACATACCTAAACTTTTCATAAATATATATATTATTTTTACATTTGAAAAAGTTTACAATAAAATGAGCAATATGTTCATCTACCCTTCTACATGACAGCACACGATTTACTTTTTTAGTTCTTTGACATAGTTTTGTTCAATATAACAAGATTTCTTCATAACTTCAAATGAAATATGTGACTATATGGTTTAATTAATTAAGTCTCACGAATGCAGTAACTGATGACCTAAAAAAAAAGACTTTATGTAGAGTTCGTCGAATACTGCCATGGTAAAAAAATGTATTTTTGTCTTTCAGTGACTTACCTATATTTTAAAATTGTAAATGAAAGCATTTATCGGAACCATTTCTTAAGTAAGTTTCGAAGAAGAATAACGAAAATCGTATTAAATTAAGGGCCGTTACCGATGCGTCGTCAAACCTTACCGACTGTAAGATGGATTCCTCTGAAGCCTGGATTATTGATACTTCTGTCTGTTTTAAAGTGAAGATGTAAGGCGTTATTTGTAGAGACTATCACGGGTGGGTCTGGAGCGTTTATACAGTATGTGCCTAGAAGGTTTGCCTGTGTATTAGGTCCATCATACATTTTCAGGTGATCGAATGAACAATTTGCTTGAGGTTCTAGACTAAAATTCGTTATTCTAAAAATAGAGTAAAGTTTTTATGTATAGTTAAAAGAATGTGTTTTTGTTTGTGCATCCATTTTTATTATTAAGTCTGAGAGTTTACATTGCTTTCATTAATAAGTATCACAATAAGGTGTTCAAAGAGGGAAATACAGTGTTAGACGGCAACGGAATTTATTGCTTTGTTTCTTTACAATTCTTTTGAGACAGCCACGTTGTTTTATTTGCCGAATTGAAATATTAATTACATCATTTATTAACGACATATTTTTTCGAAACATATGTATTAAGTATATTCCAAGTTCAACAGGCTAGAAGATCTCTTGCGACTGAAGTGTGGAACACATTTCAGCTCTGTGGCTTTTCGTCACCTTGAGTTTTAAACTATATTGGAATATGATGTTAAAAAAAAAAGGACACTTGAATAACAAAGAAAAAACAAATAAACTAAGAAAATAAAAATTGAATTGACTTTTTTTGCTATTCAGTGTATTCTTTAGTGTGATCAATTAATATAATTTTCTAAGTATGGAAGAAAGTAATGGCGTATTAGTGAGTTCAGTAGCAAGCAAAATAAAATTCCCGATAACTGCGCCAAATGAGATTCTTAAGAGTGACGTAGTTGAGTTCTGTCAGCTTCTTTTGTTTTACCAAAATAGTCTCATTTTAAGTATGTTGAAATGAGAATATTAATAAAGTTCAGTGGCGTGAAAAAAAGATCCGATGGCATACCTACGGGGGTTAGCACCAATTGGGATTCGTCTAAAGTGTGTTACTTGAATGCATGTTTTGTGAAGTGCCTTTAGCACATGGGAAGTTCACGCATTGAGCCTCCAATGTTGGGCGGGTTGTAGCTGGTTCAGTGATAAAAACTGGTTGGAGTTATAAGTTATTTTCCTCCTGTAATTTTCTGTCAATCTCATCAGAGCCGTTCTTATGAGTTTGGGGGCCCTAGGCATGGAGCGTAGGTTGGGGGCCCCGGAAGGAGGGGATCCGGGGTTGGAGCTCCCCCGAGCTGTGGAGAAAACACCACCCACCACTGCGGCACCTCCATTCTGCCTTCATCAATGTTTCCTCTTTGCTTGCGTGTAACCACTAACCATATTGATAATTCCGCCACAAGAGAAAATGTGTACTTCTGAAATATATGGACATGCAGGTGGTAGTGGGGCCCTAGGCTGTTGCCTAGTTTGCCTATGTCCCTAAGACTGGCTCTGGTTGCACTTATTTCAACTCAAATGATAAATTTCAGGATGAGGAAGGTAACGTGAGTGACACAGACGGCTGCAGTGCCTGTTAAAAAAAAAAACCGGGGGGATCGAGGGCGCCTCACGGGGGGCCCCCTCACGTTCGGGGCCCTACGCGGATGCGTAGTCAACGTATGCCTAAGAACGGGCCTGATCTCATGTCGTTGTTAAACGTATTATCGCTATGTATAACTATTGCAGATTAGACTGTTTCCGTTGTTTTCAAATATTACCTTATGTTAAGATTAAAAAAGGGGAAGAAGAAAAAAAAATGGGGGGGGGGGGGGGGGGGGGGGGGGGTTAACCTTTCCGTTGTTTTCAAATATTACCTTATGTTAAGATTAAAAAAGGGGAAGAAGAAAAAAAAATGGGGGGGGGGGGTGGGGGGGGGGTGGTTAACCATTTAATAAGGATGTTGGTTATAGCCTGGACGAATGTGTAAAAGTTTCACTTGTATGGCTAGCGACAAATACATTTTAAAGAAACAAATACAGGATTTAACTGGAGAGTTTACTTTACTTAAACACGTACTTACCTGAAAAATATTAGTTTATTAGGATCAGCAATGATTGTCCAAGTGCAATTTAAATATGGAATATATTCGTATGGATATCCAGGGCTTACGATGTAACCTGATGGTTCTGTCAATGTTGTTTGGCAATCTACAATATAATAAATGTGTACTTGTCTCTTTAGTTATCATTATAATTCTTGGTTTCTGTGGGGTTTATAAAGAAAAAAAGAAAGTATTTTGTGCGTGTCGTCACGAGCACTAAGTAATATTACTTGATATATAATTTTGAACACGTTCAGACGAGCAAATATTTTTAAGAATTAACGCAACAAATGTAGATTTGTTTAGATACTTTACTGAGAAATAAGACTTATTAAGGTTATGTGCACCTAAATACATGTAATCAACTAAAAACCAAACAATTATATGAAACAATAACAGTAATCTACCCAGACCAAATATTCTATGAAAATGATTGTTGATTATAAACATGAAAATAAAATTTCACTCTGATTTACATAAGGTCTGAAAACGAATAGGTCACGCTACCTGAAATAATAATAATACAAGAAAGACGTGCCCAATGTTTGTAATGGAGATAGTAGACCCAAGGAAGGAATTGTCACAATGAAAGAAACCGAGTGGAAATATTTGAACGAGTAATTTATAATGGACATGGTTATATAAATCTGTAAATGATATGAATTTAAGAAATTCAAAGAAACAACAAAACAGTAAGGTTGGTTTAATTTCTCTCTACCTATTATCTCCGATTCACACTTTACGTCTACGTACAGGCCAGGTTTGGCCCATAGGTAAATATAAATAAAGGTATTAGGAAAATAAGGAAAAAATAGGTACAAAAATATCTGACCTCGACAGTTTCAAATTCAGTATTTTCTACATTGAACGCAACCAATGGGGATTTGCTATATATAGACTAATGCGAATTTGTGTGTATGTTATGTATAGTTAATAGTAGTTATTTGTGCAATATGTGTGCCATGCATCATAATTCCCCAGTTTAAGGTACCGGGTTAAAAAATAGCAATGATAAATAATAAATTATTTTATTTGTTAATGTTTTTTATTAATTAATTTAGAACATCAGAGATTAAATAAAAAAAATTATGATTATTTTCCCACCAAAAAAATTCTCTTTTGAAATTAAATTTTTACTTGGAAAAAATATGACGCCTCTACGTTGAGATTACTCAATTAAATGGAAATGGAAAAGAATTCCGAAATAAAAGATTTGAGCGTGAAAACAAACTTAAACTTTGCAAAAAAGAAACGGAATTCAGTTTTGCTTAACCGGATAGAATTCAGGGCAATATTTGCTTTTAGATTGCGAATGCTTAGAGAGATTTACATAGTTGGAGAAGGGCTATTTTCTACATTAAATAATGTACATAACGGATGACATAATACATTCCAGGAAGTAAATCACTTTAGAAATCGTGGCTGTCCTAAAAGTCTAAAACATAAATATTTTTTTAAAAAATCATAATCATTTGGGAAAGGTTAGTCATTTTTTTCTCACCATGACTTGAATTTTAAATAAAACAAGTGCATTTTGTTATGGAAATTTGCCGCAATAATTCTTAAAATAATTGTTTCTCACCATTAACTTGGTAACTTGCTTCAAAGCCATAAACATTTTTAGCATTGCTCGTTCTCAGAACAATCCGCAAAAATGGTTTGGTTGACATAATCAGGGGCTCGAACGTCGTGGCACACATTTTAACTAGAGATGGAGACGTATCATTTGGCCCATCGAACACTTGAACAAAGTCGTTAGCCCACGTTGGTGCTAGACTGAAGTTTAGGATCCTGATCAAATATCAATAGTTATACGGCAAATTAACGTGGTACAAGAACTAATGATTGGAAATGATTTAATCCCGAGACCTAAATTACAGTAACACATGGATAGGTTTAATTTGTACTATAGTGGTAAGTAAATATCTTGTATCATTATATTTATTTGGAAAATTAAAAATAAAATTAAGAACTTTATATTAATTTTATTTTTTAAAAACAAATTTTAGGACAACTTTAAAAAAAATTAATAAATGAAGTCTCATTCGTGGAATATTTGAATTGTACTTCCTAATGACCCGGGGCTTTTTCTTAACCCCCCCCCCCCCCAGATGTCCCCGGGCGCCAGCTAGTTAGGGGTGCCAAAATGTGCTTTGATATTATGTTATTGATGAAAATTAAAAATAAAATTAAGAAACTTATATTAATTTTATTTTTTAAAAACAAAATTTAGGACAAATTTAAAAAAAATTAATAAATGAAGCCTCATTCGTGGAATATTTGAATTGTACTTCCTAATGACACGGAGCTTTTTCTTAACACCCCCCCCCCCAGATGTCCCCGGGCGCCAGCTAGTTAGGGGTGCCAAAATGTGCTTTGATATTATGTTATTGATGAAAATATTTGGTTTGAGAGTTGGAAAAAAGAAAAAGGGGCGCTTTAAAATGGATCTTGTTCCCGGGCGCGAACTTGTCCCCAGGCGCCAAAAACCCTCGCTACGCCACCGCCCCCACCTTAACATACCTTATCTTGAACAAAAAAGTTTAATTTTGTTATGGTTAAGGGGAAATCATACTACATCTCAGTTTTAAGGAAACAATTGTATCAAGGTTTAAACATTACATACTATGCAGACTAAGACTTTACATACTATGCAGACTAAGACTTTACATACTATGCAGACTAAGACTTTACAGACTATGCAGACTAAGACTTTACATACTATGCAGACTAAACTTTACAGACTATGCAGACTAAGACTTTACATACTATGCAGACTAAGACTTTACAGACTATGCAGACTTAGAATTTACATACTATGCAGACTAAGACTTTACAGACTATGCAGACTAAGACTTTACATACTATGCGGACTAAGACTTTACAGACTATGCAGACTAAGACTTTACATACTATTCAGACTAAGACTTTACAGACTATGCAGACTAAGACTTTACAGACTATGCAGACTAAGACTTTACATACTATTCAGACAAAGACTTTACAGACTATGCAGACTAAGACTTTACAGACTATGCAGACTAAAACTTTACAGACTATGCAGACTAAGACTTTACATACTATTCAGACTAAGACTTTACAGACTATGCAGACTAAGACTTTACATACTATGCAGACTAAGACTTTACATACTATGCAGACTAAGACTTTACATACTATGCAGACTAAGACTTTACAGACTATGCAGACTAAGACTTTACATACTATGCAGACTAAGACTTTACAGACTATGCAGACTAAGACTTTACATAATATGCAGACAAAGACTTTACAGACTATGCAGACTAAGACTTTACATACTATGCAGACTAAGACTTTACAGACTATGCAGACTAAGACTTTACATACTATGCAGACTAAGACTTTACAGACTATGCGGACTTAAACTTTTCAGACTGTGCAGACTAAGACTTTACATACTAAGCAGACTTAAACTTTACAGACTGTGCACACTTAGACTTAACAGACTATGCAGACTTTGACTTAACAGACTATGCGGGCACTTCAATCACTGTGTATTTAAGGTAAAACAATAATGACGCGAAAATGATTATCCCTAAAACTATAACGCCAGAAGCTGCAGATGAACTACAATACATAATATTTCCCTACATTAAGGAAGACGTTATTTAATATGAAAATCTGATAGTTTTCAGAAAAATTATACGTTTTGAATACATGAAATCTAAAATATTCGTGAAAAAATCTGTCATTTATGGACAGGGAGATGTAATTGGGTTAGGGTGGGTGACGAGAGTAGATGGGGTGTCAGAGGATTAGGGGGTAATGTGATGGGAGAGGCTAATGTAGAAATTAATATCTTTTGGAGAGGGGGCACATTTTGGGGAGTAATGAGGGGAAACCGTCATTCTCGACACATTAAATCTAGTCATATCATATTGTTAAACTAGGTTTTAAATGTTATTGAATTGTTATATTGACAAACCAAAAAGAATATATATAAAAAAAGAATGTCATTATATGTAACCTCTAAATTCTAAAGTCCAGATTCTGCATCTAGTTCCATAAATTTTGTCAGTTATTATTATTCAACATGACTTACCTCTGATCTGTTCAAACATAGCATATCTTCTATTTATTAAAAATGGGATGTAGAGGTAATCGCAATACCTTAGTGACACAAAAGTCCCATTCTTGCCTTCGATGTTCCACGAGAAATACGATGAAGTAGGATAAGTTCGTGGATAGCCAGGGCTTGCAATGTGACCAAATACAGAATCACGGAGAGTCATGTTGTTATCTTAAACACAAATTCATGTTTTTCAGCTTCATATGTTTTAAACCTTTATTATGTGTTAGTTTTATAATAGTTAAAAATAGTTAGCGTCTTTAATAATCTTTTAATTTGGAAAATTTGATTTTTTTTCATTTATTGATCCTAATTTTTTCAATTTAAAAAAATGTAATAATCTTTTCAATAGGTAGCTCTTTATCACCTGTTCTATAGCCTACAGGAATCTGGAAGGATGGCATGAATATTTTACTTAGTTTACATGTTTTTAATAATTGTAAAGCGCTTAGAGCTTTAAGGTAAGCGCTATATAAAAATGCCTAAATAAATAAATATCTTTAACATGATTTTTAAGTTTGTATGTATGTGAAGAAAATTCACATTGCAAATAGAAACGTTTCAAAAAAAATTTATTTAGTTTTCTTTAAAGGCTGATTTGAGCTAACAGATAGCAGAATGAACACTTCTGCCACAACGCAGCCGGGCGTTACATATCAAAACAATTTCGGGGGATTTTATTTTTAAACATGAAATTTGAAATTGAACTTTGAAACATTGTTACTTATATTTTCAGCGTACCAAATCTTTGGTAAGAGCCGCTAAACCCTCTAAATGCACGTAGCTCATTTGTTTTAAAAACAACCTCCATGGAGTTAGCCAGGGATGCAATAGTTTGTGGTCCGTTCGCGTTACGTTTGCACAACAAGGCAAGCTGTGTTGAGCCTGATGGTCCGCTGTACATGCCCAGCGAATCATAGTAGCACTGAGACGTCTCTTCCATTTCCATGTCTGAGATGCTGAAAGAAGAAATGATAGTACAGACTAAGTTTAACCCCCATGGATTCAATATTAAGAACAGACATTGTAAACGCTTGAATAACAACATAAGACATAATGAAGTGAACGTTACGGCTGAAAGCCTCCCTCCGCAAACACAACTATACAATACCAAAAGAGGAGCGGACAATGAGGACTTAGCTTGTAAACATTGAAAGGACTCACGGGAAAATTTTTTAATCTTCCATTTGATTGTCATGTGATGTTATTATTTGAGATGTCACATTTTTCTGTTCTTAATATTGATTGAAATCAGACAACACGGTGACCTGAACACGATTACCATACATAGTAATTTAAAGGTGTTCGAAACTTAAACACCCGTTGCTTACACCCTTTTCTACAAACACCAATGCACATGCTTAAAGCAACTCAAAACAAATACCCTTCCACACACACACACTCAAACACACACACACACACATACTCAAAACATAGGCTCAAGGCAGACCTAAGCTTAGATAGATGGGTAATGTGGAAAAAGATCTACAGGATCTGGGAATCCAAACATGGAAAAGAAAAGCATTAGTTAAGTCTGAGTTGAAGGAAGTGGTGAGGCAGGCCAAAACCCTACATAGGCTGTCGCGTGACAGGGATTAACGGATGGTGTGAGTGGAAGGAAGTGGTGTGGCAGACGAAAGTGCTACATGGGCTGTAGTGCCACAGGGATGGACAGATACTCAAAACACATTTTAAACATGAGCAAACAGATACGCAGTCTCACATTTATTTATGTCATATTAATTTATTTTAATTCATACTTCATTGACAAAATACATTCATTTTAGATCGGGAATCTCAATCGTGAACTACATTCTGCCTTCTCGGCATCATCCAGCGCCCAGCAAATTGATTGGCGCATGAAGAAGCAGATGATCACAAGTGTATTAGAAGAAATAATAATTAAGAATTATCTCAATTTGCACCATGTGTTATAGCTAGAAAAGTATAACTATTTAGACCCACGGCGAAACATTATAAACAGTATTTCACAAATAATTGAACACCCATAAATTAGGTTTTAGTAAGAGATAGAACCTTTGGAACAGCATTGCATTTTTAGAATATGCAATTGCCTCATTTAAAAGTTTGAAACTCATCTTCCTCCTAAACTGAGAGATAATGTTTAGAAATCTATAATATTCTATTAATGAAAATTGAGGTTAAATTTTTTACGGGTAATACCAATAGTCGTCCCATGGTTCATAGAGAATTGTTAGTTCTGATCAGCTGATAATGGTATTAATTCATACATATATCTAAATAAAATAATACCTGAAAATATAATACGTGTTTGGCGCACCAGTTAACGTCCACTTGCAATAGAGATTGTTGGGATATTGCAACGGATAGTCATGGCTGACAATAGTGCCAATGGCATCTTGACTTGTGGCATTACAACCTGAGAATGTTCGTGATTATAGTAATCAGTTGAATTACCTCTATTTCATCATACAAAAAGGCATTTTATTTATCTTAATGAAGCACTTCAAATTTATTCTAGAGTTAAAATTTTTTTTTCAATTCGTGTGTCAAATGTCTTAAACACGTTTACTAATGTAATAAATACCTACTTAAGACACAAGCAGCTTTACAATTGTGGTAGTACGCGTTAGAAGGACAAAGACAACGGTAGTTGTTGCAGTTGTTCGTGGTGCACTGAGATGAGTCGCTACAGGAATCACCATAGGGTCTACGTGAAGATGATGTTGAACAAAATTGATCGTCGGCTCCATGCACAAACTGTTTGAAAGTTTATTTTTAAAAATATTTTAAACATTTATCTAGTATTTTTATTCGTGACAGTTTGTTTGTGATGGTCAATTCCAGCTATTTGTTATATCGACATTAAATTTAAATAATCTCTATATTTATTATAATTGAATTTTTCTTATTTCAAATCGTTGCGTCTCTATTTCATATTTTAATAATAACAAAATTTACTATCAAGAAATAACTTTCATAATTAGATCTCAATTAGCATTAGCCTTTAAATGAATGTTTAATTGGAAAATTGAGCTCACCTATGACAATGGAATAAATAAATACGTCGCCAGGAAAGGAATTTAAAAAAAAATTTTTTTACTAATGCGGGTATTGTTATAAATGTTATTTGACACGTATAATGGATTTATTTTATTATTTTAAAAGAATTTGAAAAGTATCATCAAAAAGATAGTTTGGTTCACTTAGTCTAGAACTAGCAGAGACAGCATTACACCTTGTAGGGCGCCCCATTTTTCTCTTGGTACATACTCACAAAGGAAATAATTTCCTATAATTATTAGGGTGCTCTCCAACCATTATTTTTTTTTTAACTCAATGACGTTGTTATCATCTTAATTAGTTTACTCGGCATATCGTACCAGTGGTTCTGGAAAACCTTCTTGGAAATTAATCCGCTTCGATTTGTAAACAAAAAAAATTCAATAAACTTTTATTGGTTTTTACTCCTTTAAAAATGATCCATTGAATTTTGTTTTCTTTAAAAAAAAAAACACCTTTATTTCAATTTTAAAAAAACCACCTTTATTTCAATTTTTAAAAAACACCTTTATTTCAATTTAAAAAAAAACACACCTTTATTTCAATTTAAAAAAACACCTTTATTTCAATTTAAAAAAACACCTTTATTTCAATTTTAAAAAAACCACCTTTATTTCAATTTTAAAAAAAAACACCTTTATTTTAATTTTAAAAAACACCTTTATTTCAATTTTAAAAAAACCACCTTTATTTCAATTTTTAAAAAAACACCTTTATTTCAATTTAAAAAAACACCTTTATTTTAATTTTTAAAAAACACCTTTATTTCAATTTTTTTTAAAAACACCTTTATTTCAATTTTAAAAAAACACCTTTATTTCAATTAAAAAAACACCTTTATTTCAATTTTTAAAAAAACACCTTTATTTCAATTTTAAAAAAAACACCTTTATTTCAATTTAAAAAAAAAAAAAACTTTATTTCAATTTTTAAAAAAACACCTTTATTTCAATTTTTTTAAAAACACCTTTATTTCAATTTTAAAATAAACACCTTTATTTCCATTTTTAAAAAAAAACACCTTCATTTCAATTTTAAAAAAAAAATTAGAACCAGAGATTATAATGACTTTTGATTCTAAACACCTCACTGAAAAATGACGCTACTGATTAATTTGATGTGATCAGCTGAGCAATACTTCTTTTAGCGATACAAATTTAGTCTCAAGTTGTAATCAAAGCTACTCACCTCAGAAAAAAGAATTATAATTATCGTACAATATTTTAAATCCATTTTGCAGAAGTAAATTTGGTACTCCCTCGTACAAACTTTTGGGGGAAAGACTTACACAAGTACAAACTATAGACCTACACGCACGAGTGACTGTCACAAGAGCAAACTATAGACCTACACACACGAGTGACTGTCACAAGAGCAAACTATAGACCTACACGCATGAGTGACTGTCACAAGAGCAAACTATAGACCTACACACACGAGTGACTGTCACAACAGCAAACTATAGACCTACACGCATGAGTGACTGTCACAAGAGCAAACTATAGACCTACACGCACGAGTGACTGTCACAAGAGCAAACTATAGACCTACACGCATGAGTGACTGTCACAAGAGCAAACTATAGACCTACACGCATGAGTGACTGTCACAAGTACAAACTATAGACCTACACGCACGAGTGCCTATCAGAAGAGAAAACTATAAACCCAAATGTTATGTTGAAAATGTTTTTATAAGGTCTAAAGATTCGAGGTCGGACCCTGAAGTTGGTCAATATAGGGGCAGGTAAAAATACTAAAAGTTCTGATGCAAGGAAGGACTCCATACAAACACTTCCTCCAGTATTTACTTATGGAAATATAGTTCAGTATGTTTAAACTTCCTGTTCCAAATGAACTTAATCCGAGTCTTTGAATTAACTTACGTCACTGGCAAATATGAATATATCTGTTAACAAACTGCTTGCTGAATCTCATGCTGTTTATTGAATATGCCAGATTTTTGTGACATATTTATTCTAATAACCATTATATCTTCCTGCTACTGAACCTTGAAATATAAAATATAATTTTGGGTGACGTTACCAGGTCTAATACGTTTCATTTGAATAACCCCCTGGTTTTACACTTTGAGACTCGCAATTTTCTTAACTCATTCCTTATGTCTGAAAATCTTGACAAAAATATTTGGTGGGTCCTTCCAGGTCTGGGTATTAAAATTCAGGAATTATTTATAGAAAACGAGAAATGTGTTCCAAAAAAATTGGAGGAAATGGAATAAGGTACTTATAGATTCAGTAAGGGCCATCCATATATTAGGTCCACAAAATAAACTAAAATTACCGCACAACCCCGGCTCCCGCCCGTTGCAGGCGTAGTTTTTTTTTTTTGAACTACCCTTTCTCACTCACCCCCTCCTGCACAACGTGCCAATGAGCTTTCACAACAGCCCCTACCCAACATCAACCCAAAAAGACAAAATTCGTGGATAAATTATTACTACGTCACAGGATGGCGCATCAAGGGGTTCACCGCTGTCTGGCGCAGCCTAATATGCGCCGTGTAGCCTCATGGAGCCGTGGCTACCTCACAAGGTAGCCGTGGCTACCTCCCATGGGAGCCGTGACTACCTCACATGGGAGCGTGACTACCTCACATGGGAACCGTGGCTACCTCACATGGGAGCCGTGACTACCTCACATGGGAGCCATGGCTACCTCACCTGGGAGCCGTGGCTACCTCACATTGGAGCCGTGGCTACCTCACATGGGAGCCGTGACTACTTCACATGGGCGCCGTGGCTACCTCACATGGGCACCGTGGCTACCTCACATGGGAGCCGTTGCAACCTCCCATGGGAGCCGTGACTACTTCACATGGGCGCCGTGGCTACCTCACATGGGCACCGTGGCTAACTCCCATGGGAGCGTGACTACCCCACATGGGGGCCGTGGCTACCTCCCATGGGAGCCATGGCTATGTCACATGGAAACCGTGGCTTCCTCATATGGAGCCGTGGCTACTTCGCTTGGAACCATGGTTACCTCACATGGGAGCCGTGGCTACCCCACATGGGTGTCGTGGCTACCTCATATGGGAGCCGTGGCTACCTCACATGGGAGCCGTGGCTACCTCACGTTGGCACCGCAAAATATCGCGAGATTTTCATAATAATATTTCCACTTTTAATCCAATGTGACTCTACATGACATTTAGTGGATCTGGTGAAAACCTTTGATTCACTGGAGTAATTACTGTTTGCCCAAGATTCAGAAATGAGTTCTAGATTTGGGATTATGTGGCAATGGTCCGTGGATGATATGCACATGCGCAAAGCCGTGATGTTGGCGAGTAGAGAACAATTCCTATCTTTGCATTGACCATTTAATCAATAACAAACATTACTTATTTAAATATTATACTTTATTTCACTTTAGTTTTACAAAAAAATACATTATTACACATCTAGCAGTAGATGCCATCAACCTAATCGTGATTCTGTCACACTTCCCAGTCACCGACGGCAATAGTCCAACTCGCCAAAACTTCTTTTAATAATATAAATTTGTCAGTCTCACGGTTTATAAATAAAATAAGCTTATTTTTTCATTTAATATGCGCTTATTTTTTGTTACGGTGCTCACCAGTACGGCCTACCAGCCCAAATCATGGTCCGGTGTTTAAATTCAAATCAAATTGGAGACCTGAAATCTGAACTACAAATAAAAGATGTGTATATACACAAACATGTCAAGGGGAAACTACTAAAGTTTAGGATGGTGTAAAAATAAATTCAGATATGCGCCAAAATCCATTCACTGCAAGATCAGCAAGCCCTATGAAATTGAAAATTTCAATGCTATTATTCTTATACTCTAAGCGGGCTCTGACAAGTTGTTTTAAAAATCCAGCTTTCAAGTGGCCTAACGTGTACAAATCCAACGCTTGTTTGATTCGATTGACTGTAACAAATCTGAAGTTTTGTGGGGCATTTATTTTATACTTTCTAGCACTTATTTGGAAAAGCGTTTTTTTTTTAAAAATATGTTTTTTTAAACGTTGTACTTTTGATATTTCGAATACGAGATAAGGAAGTTGGTTGAAACATATAACTAAAAATGCGTTGGGTGCCCATGAAATACAGACACTTGAATTTTTACGGGAAACGAGTGACCACGCATAAGGAAAAGCTGTAGTAGAATCCCGATGTCTCTATCATCAGTCACTTCCTGTTCCAGAGCTATCCACAGAGGTCACTCACAGTCAGTGGAGACAACTGATGACCCACCGATTACGAAGTGTTGAATTGTCATCAAGCTTGGGTAAGAGTAGAATGTTTCATCTCAATTTTTACATCAGAACGTTGGTAACAACTGACATGGAAAATAGAGGTCACTCAAGGGTGGCTGGCGGTCACCGTTTCAGCGTCATTGAACATTGGAAAATTTGTCAAAATTGAGCTGCAAGATTCCACCACTGACCAGCTAACACACAAAAGGACAAAGCAAACAACAAAAACCGTAGCAAAAAGGTTATTAAAGGCCATTACGTTTTAAGGTCACACCTGAAACGATTCAAGGGGGATAAGTCCGGGAACATGGTAACCGAGGTTTAATGTCAACAAAAAAAAAAAAATGAGAATACAAACGTACGTGAATTCTGAAGTAGACTTTGTCACTACTGGGATGCCTACGTCCTGGCATTCCTGTGTGACGTTAATACTGAATTAGACCTTATCATAACAGAGATACCTACGCACTGGTGTGCCTGTGTGGCGTGAATACTGAAGTAGACTTAATCACAGTAGAGATGCCTACGTACTGGCGTGCCTGGGTGGCGTGAATACTGAAGTAGACTTAATCACAGTAGAGATGCCTACGTACTGATGTGCCTGGGTGGCGTGAATACTGAAGTAGACTTAATCACAGTAGAGATGCCTACGTACTGATGTGTCTGTGTGGCGTGAATACTGAAGTAGACTTAATCACAGTAGAGATGCCTACGTACTGATGTGCCTGTGTGGTGTGAATACTGAAGTAGACTTGATCACAGTAGAGATGCCTACGTACTGATGTGCCTGTGTGGTGTGAATACTGAAGAAGACCTAATCACAGTAGAGATGCCCACGTACTGATGGGCTTATGTGACGTTCATCATACGGAAGTAAATGTTATCATTGGAGGGATACTTACGATCTGGTTCATGGAAGATGGTCCCAGTTGTTTTAAGTTACGTGTCAGGGGATTTAACTCTTAAAATTACTTCATGATAGTTAAAGCACCCCCCCCCCTTTTTTTAAAAGTAATACTGGTAATTTGTAGCAACTAGCACTTCTTTCTAAATACAGGAGGAGCATAGAGTGGCATAACTAGGGTTAAGGTTGTATATATTATATGGAATAAATGTTGTTGTTTTTTTGTAGGGGTTTGCCCATTAGAATTTTAAAATATATATATATCGTTTGCACATTGCCTCCAAACCATTAATCGGACACTGTGTTCTGTCAACTTTCACTTTTCACTTCTGTTGTCATGGTAACATTTGTTTTCCATCTTCTTATTTATGGTCTTTAATTTTCAGCGTTTTGCTTATTCGGTGAAAAAGAGACACATGTAACTATCATACCGGGATAAAATTAATTCAAAGAAATATTTTTTTTGTAATTGAATTAAAGTTTACGAGAACTCGTTGGTATAGTTACTTAACTGTTGGTGTCTATAAATGAAAGAACACTATATAAAAATGTTATGAAATGAAAATTGTGTAGTTTTTTTTTTTTAGTTAATTTATATTTTCTCGTTTTTTCTTAACAATTTTTTTTCCGAGGGAGCGGATGGTCGTTTCCTTGCTCCGGATGCCCCTTCCCGCCACTCCCAGAGAGATGCCTGAGAGAAACACTGATTGCCAAGACTATATGAATAAGATTAACGAAATACATGAAGTGCAGTGATTATTTCAGAAATTTTCTCCCGGGGGGCACTTAAGATATTTTTTTTTGGGGGGATGCCAGCAGTGCCAATTGATTTATTGTTGGACATATTTTCGCTCCGGGGGGGCACTTGGCTTTCCCCGGGGGGCACCCCCCCCAGGAGATATAGCTGAAATAAACCCTGGTGACGTAGACGCCCTGGCTTATAATCATTGAGACAATTTGAGACATTCTACATTGCAGAAATTAAGGGGGAAAAACAAGAGTTTTTGTATTAATAAAGGGTACACTCGGGTTGGAAGGATTTCTCGGGAAGTCTTTTGATTACTGAAAATCGTGCAAGGTCTCAGGATCCCACTAGTGCCGTGGTCGGCAAACTCATAAGTCAAAAGAGCAAAAAATTAGCAGCAGGATGATTTTACAAATTTTGAGAGCCAAATTTCTTGTCATGAACCAACCAAATGCCATGTTCTGCGGAGTCCGTTTCAACTTTAAATTAGCTAACTTAACATTAAATACAAGATATAATAATGCTTATCTTATTAGTTGACAAAAATACATAACACGCATTAAACGTTACATTTAACCAGATATAATAATAATAATCTTATTGACAAAAAAAAAGTAAAATGCGCATTTAATTTGAACTTTGACCTTGCATTTCCTTGGCATGTTTTGATATGTTTA